AAGTATGTCATCGAGGGACACGATGACAAACTTATCCAAGTAGTCATGAAATATCCGATTCATAGCATGCTGAAAGGTGCCAGGAGCATTGCAAACGCCGAAAGGCATCACCACAAACCCGTACAGATCGTACCTGGTCTGAAATGCGGTTTTGTGTTGATCCTCAGGCTGGATTGCAATCTGATGATACCTGGACTTCAGATCTATCTTACTAAAGTACCGGCACCCGTGAACTCTATCTAGCAAGTTGTCGATGCGTGGTAGGGGCTCTCTATTCTTGACAGTGATGGCATTGAGGCCCCTATAGTCAATGCACATCCTAAGTGTTCCTTCCTTCTTCGGTACGAATAGAAGTGGAGATCCATAAGGAGAAACACTCGGCCGGATCCAACCCTTCTCTACGACTTCCTTGAGTTGTCGGCGAAGCTCATCAAGCTCACCTGGAGACATCCTATAGATCCTACCCTTTGGGATACTAGACCATGGGATAATCTTTATTGCGTGGACGACCTCCCTCTCAACAACCCCTGTAGGCTCTTCAAATAGATCAGGCTACTTGGCAACTACTCCCTCTATCTCCGGTGGCATTTTCACCGGTTCGCCTGCAGCAGAGACATAGACGAGATACATACCCTCCTCCGGATTTTTCTTATAATAGTTATAGAAAGCGGCCGCACACATGTATCCGTGGGACTCGATCAGACTACTAGCTTTGAACTTATGTAATCTGGCGGTCCCCCCACCTGGCAAGTGTGTTTGACCACTTTTCAGTCCCAATCCAACTGGGGTTGTGCCACGGAGAGGTAGTAATACCTAACAAGATATCCATAGGGAGATCAACGCTGACTAGGAACGAGACGCGATGTCTCCATTCCCCTCCCGCGTACGGGAAACGACACTCAACATCCTGGAGGTATTCGTTGATTACCATGCGCTGTTTGTTGGCACAAGTCGACTCCACAGGTTGACTCAGGCGCTGCACTTGCCGCTGTAAGCACAACCTCTCAACGCACGCGCGACTGATGAAGTTCCTAGTCGAGCAAGTGTCATAATAGGCCCCGGCCTTGAGGCCGCCGATGACTACCTTGCCTACGAACATCTCTCCCTTGGGGGCTTTGGTCAATGCCGTCGAAGAAGCTAGTGGGTTTGATCTAGACCACTCCTCCTCTAGCTCCTCCAAGGATTCAAACACATTCATCGAACAGAGGCTCGACGGGTCAGAATGTGTTTGCGGGACGACGATGGAGTCAGTAGCTTGGGCCATCTCTCGAGATGGTGAGGGTGTGTCCACCACCTCGACCCTAGCAGGAATAACTACCATTCCTACTGGCCTGACGCGTTTCCCGGAGCAGTGCCAGAACTGCTGCCCACATTGCTACCAACAGGAGCGGAGGATCCCAACGCCTGCCCCATCGTAGGCGGGATCTTCTCGGTCACCTTTCTGTTACGGTACTTAAATTGGTTATGGCCATATTGGCCACAACGAATACAAGCTTGCCGGGTGTACCGGTCTCTCCACACGTCCTCACTAAGACCCGCTTTCTCCCATGGAGGAGCATTGGGGTCTACTTGATTCCTAGATCTGGAACCTCCACGGTGTCTACCGGTCGCCTTACCCTTCTGGGCTACGACAGTGACTACTCCMCCCCCTGAAGCTACTATGCTGCCCGCCTGTGAACCTGCTCCCACCTGGAACTCGTCGTCCAACTCGATGGTAGAACCATCGTTGTCGACGAACATAATGTGTCCCTTCGCTTTCCAGTTGGGAGGCAGTGTCTTTTTCCTACCATCCGTCGTGGGTGTCTGACCATGCCCTATCTTTGCTTCCAGGTCTAGGGCCTTCTTGCTAAATGACGGGAAGTTGTGCATGTTAATGTTGGCCTCACCTGCCGACTGGTTCCCGAGAGGCATGGGAAAGCATCTCAGGTAGGAGGTGAATAAAACATGGGGGTCATAGCGAACCCAAGGGACACATATCAGGCGTTCTACAGCGTCAGTGGCCTCTCTCTCCGACTTAAACTGCCTCGTGTGCAGTGTCAGAATCGCGTCAGTGGCCTTTTGGGCCTCCTGAGGATCATACCACCTGTCTTCCACCAACTTGAGAAAGTCATCCAATTTTTTGGGTGACCGCCCAAGCACGAAAGTCATGACTGTACCCCTGGAGCTGCACTAAACCACTCAACCATCTTGTTGTACGCCCCTCTAGGTAGGAGGCAGCCACAAACACTTCCTCGTGCGGCAAGGTAAGTTTGCACTTGACGTAGATCGGCACTGTCCTCAACCAAGTGTCGAGGTCTTCGCCCCTCTTATCCCCTGTGAAGGGTTTAGGAGCAGTGATGGTCGTCTTTGGAACCCATTGACTTTGTCCCGGTACCTGTACAATTCCCGGTTGTGGACCCTATGGTGCAGGCTGCTGCACTAGCTGCTGCTGGGGCTGTGTACCCTGTGGCTGTGCAGGCTGTCACTGAGCTCAAGTCTTTCCTAGGGCTTGATAGTTATTACAAGAAGTTTGCAAGGAACTTCTCCTTAGTAGTTGCTCCTATGAGAAGACTACTAAAGAAAGAAAAACCTTGGTTGTGGGACAAAGATTGTGAGTCGTCGTTCAAGAAGTCGAAATATGTACTGACTCACTACCCTGTCTTAAAGATTGTTATCTTTCTCTCTCTTTCATTGTCACTACTGACGCAAGTCAGTATGTGATCGGGCTTGTATTACAGCAAGACAATGGTAAGGGATATAAACCTATCGTGTTTATGTCCAGAAGTCTGTCGTCTGAAAAAGTGGCCAACTCCACATATGAAAGGGAATTGTGTGCCTTGGTTGCTGCACTTGACACTTGGAAACACTACTTGTTAGGGAGGCACTTCACTGTCTATTCATACCACTCTACCCTGCAGTGGATTAAGACTCAACCTAGACTTTCTGACAAGTTAGTGAGATGGTCCGCTTTCATAGACACATTTGACTTTGAACTAAAAACGAGCAAAGGAAAGTCCAATGTAGTTGCGGATGGTTTGTTCAGGCGTGCTGATTTCTTTGGAACTATTGTCTCTTATCTCGATGTTGGGGACGAACTGAAAGAGCAAATCTTTAAGGATTATACAAAGGATACTATATGGAGTCCTATTACTGGAACCCTACAAAGGAATCCTGAACTCTTTCCCTAGTATCGAATGGTTGATGGTTTACTCTTCTTTATCGCTAAGACCGAAGAAAGACTTTGTATTCCTGATAAAGAGCAAATTAAAAGTCTAATTATTGGGGAATGCCATGATACTGAGGGGCACTTCAGTTTCAAGAAGACAACCAATAAATGTTGCTGTCTTTGCAACGCTTGGAAAAGTTCGACCGTGGTAGTCGGAATAGTCCAAGGGTAGGGAGGCGAGGCCATGACAGACACATTGTGGATATTGAAGAGTTTATGGATGATTAAAGTTGCTGATGTTATGCTTTGACTTTATCAACGTTATATGTGAAGGAATGGGTTTCAGAAATGGTAACAAAATTGAGTGCATCCCGCTGAATGAATTTTATCACCCTGCTGATGAGCCAGAGACATCAGCTCATGATGTGATTGGAGGAGAAGCAAAGTTGTGGATGTGGGTCCGAGTTCCAACTGTTGGGTCAGGATGCCCCGTTCATCTTTCCAAACGTGGGAAGCAATCTGGCGAGTCCCTACTTGGCTAGGCCGGTCGTCGAACCCACCCAGACGTGAGTGGGACCTTGACGAACAAGTTCCCAACCTCGTTGCCATTGCTTTGAATTGTCTATGAAGTCCTAGGTGATAGAAGGGCCCTATGGAAGTCAATTTTTTTGAAATGGAAAAAGTTGGGACTCGGTTTACTGCTTGAAACACTGAGTAGATGCATGCCTCCTTGACAGGGCATAGACCCCGGAGAATCGACCATGCTAAAAGTGTTAGGGCATAACCCCTTGTGCAGGCCACTGCCCTGAGTAACCAGGCAGCGAACCTTCGAGCTTGGACTAAGGAGGGCATGGCCAGCGAGGGGCAGCTCTAGTCATGCTTAGCCTTGGGACGCCTTGGAGGGTTGATGGTGTGAAAGATTGTGAGTTTGGAATAAGCTTGCATCATCAGATGCGTGATGAAATTGAATGTTGTCTTATGCAGCCCTACCGGTGGAAAACTCTCTCTCTCTCTCTCTCTCTCTCTCTCTCTCTCTCTCTCTCTCTCTCTCTCTCTCTCTCTCTCTGTGTGTGTGTGCCTCTCTCTCTCTGATACACAGACGCACACACATGCACACACACACACAGATCTCGAACTAAAATTGGGAGGCCTAAAATGCTCGAGTATCCATTAATTGTGGTCTCGCAGTTTGGATTTGTACCGGAAGATTCATTCCGATTTTAATGGACACACACACACACACACACACACGCACACACACACACACACACACACACACACACACACACACACACACACACGCAAGCATAAAACTATATATTTCCATGTTCTTACGGACGAATCATTGACTACAATCATGATGTCGATGGAAGTACCGGGAGAGATTGATCTGTTGATCCAAAGAAACGAATGGGGAGGATGGAAAAGAGTTGTATCGTGGGAACTAAAACTCCGAGGAGCAAGGGTTGATGAAGGTGTGTAATAGAATAAAATCCAATTGGGAAAAAATATACGAACGTGGTTGTTTGCCATTGTGTATTATTCTCTTGCCATATATTTGTTTGTTTCCCCGCGTTTGTCATGACGAACCATATGGATGACCGAAAGCAGTCATCGTTTTTTTTCTTCTTTTCTGTTTGAAAAAATCCAGCAAACGGAGCATCAATGCGACACATGCAAAATTGGCCTGTTCCCGTTTTTGTTTTTTTTTTGTTCCCGCCAACCAATGAATGGATCAATTGACGAAAGTAATAGCACAAATTACCCCTGTCAGCATGTGAATTTGTGATTTTATAGTTCATAATGAAAATGGACAATCCTGTCCTTTTTTAAGCATTTTCCCTTTTTTAATTTCATTTATCACAGACAATTGCTCCCATAATGCCGGACATGTACCACAATGGCAAGCACAAAATCCCAATTCACTCTCACGCCGCACAGCATGACATCGTCGTTATCGTCAAAGCCGCATTCGTATCATTGCACCGGCTCCACATAACGCACGCATCTACACAAATCATCTTTTGCAAACAGACACTGCAGTCGTCGAACATGCACTTGGCGATCGAACACCCTGCACATACTCTGGAGCCTCTGCTGTTTCCCGTCTCTGCTCCCGCGCAATTACAACCTTCCTTTTCCCCGTTCCCCTGCCGTGCCGCGGCATGGCCGCGGCGCGCCAACGACTTGTATCAATAAAAGCCATCACGCGCCCCTCAAAGAAGTGCGCGCCCACACACTCTCTACTCCTAGTCAACCATTCAGCTAGCGTAAACGAAACAAACCGTGACTCGTGCGGTGTACTCAAAATTTCGAATCGAACTCATCTTCTGTGACTTGCAAAACCAGGGCGGATACCCTTGGAAGGGTATTCGCATCGGCACCGCCCCCTTCTTACATTTGTTTTTTTTACCCTGTCGGCCCTGCAATGAACTTTTCAGTTCGTCACCTTGAGCATACACACACAATCTAAGATCACATGAAATCCACATTGACGGCCAGAGAGTTGAAGATTAGGTAAGCGCAACTTAAAAATTCCTACAATCATCATATGAGCATTTAAGAGTTCCAGTTACAAGCGCTCGACTGCGCAACGCCAAATAACCAGTATCCTGTACCATCATGCAAGAATGTGACTCTCTCGTTGCTCCTCCCTCTTCACTCTTTCTTTGTCTTTTCTCTGTCGACTAGCTCATTGTGTCTTCCTTCTCTACTTGCATCCACTCACACTCTCTACTACTTGAGAACCAGCTCTGAAACACCCACTACTATACTCTTCTACTAATACCAATGCCAACTACTAACCCTAGCACAACTATTGCTGCCTTCTCTCTCTCACACACAATAGTGCAGCCCTCTGGCCTCAACACCCAGCCACTCGCATTAGCACACAAGTGCAACAACACTTCCACACTTGATGCGAGTGAGCATTCTGTCCAAAATGTGGCTGACCAGTCCTTATATTGACTTGGATTGAGCTTCAACTCATCCCAGCCTCTGCTTCTTGTGCCTTGACTTGGTACTAGTACCACATCCCCACGGCCGGCTTGCTTCAGAATGTCAAGGCCTGGTACTTTTCCCGAATTTTCATTGGTGTGCTGCTGCTTGGGCCTGTGAGTCATGACTTTTCACCTGTGGAACATGACTTTTGATTGTGGGTTGTGACTCTTGCCTCTGGGACACGACTTTTGCCTGGGGAAGTGTCCTTTGCCTGTGGAATATGACATTTCAATAAGACTCTTCAATATGAGACGTGACTTTTGCTTATAGAACGCAACTTTTGCCTTTGGGACCCAACTGTGACTTTTCTGAAAGCGACTTTTGCATTGTAGTCTCAGAACGTGACCCTTCAGCTGGTTTGCGCCAGACTTGACCTTTGGGATATTTGACGGTAACTTTCAGAACCTGGCCGACCGGGCCTCTACCCATTTGAAAACTTAGACTATGAAATTCAAATTTGGGGTCTGAATCGTGGAAGGCCTTTCACTCTCGCCGTCCTAATTTCGAGGTCCTTCGAGAAAGTTATCAACTTTATTTGTCAATTATGTTAATTCCTTTTTTAGCCGGTTCATAATAAGACACAATATGCGGTGCTGTCTTTATCATCGCACCTCTTGTAAACCAGCGATCTTCTGAAGATTCTTGGTATGCAAACCTCCCCTTATACCGTCGTTGTGGTGTACCCCTGCGTCCAGATCTGTGAACATCTTCCCCAACAATCCTATCCACATCATGCTTTCCATCGAAATTAGGGCAAATCATCGATCTACGAGTTGGAAACAGTTCGTTACAAATTCAAGGCAGTAACTTTG